CAAAAATTACTTTTTTGTTTCGATGATGATAAATGTATTTTTTATTTGTCTAATTACTTTTAGTTTTCGTGTTTTGTTATTTTAAAATTTGTCATTTCCGAGCACAAAGACAGTTTTCGAGAGTTCTACGCATATTTTTCGGGCAGCAGTACCAAAATATGCACACCAGGTCGTGATAATTGGTGCGCACGACAGGAGAGCGCAGCACTTTTGTGTTTTTCATAGTTTACTTATTTCCACTCTCAGAAGTACATGAAATAGCAAGTGGGATTTAAGCTCAAAGCGGGAAGCGTTGGTTCAAAATAGTCGATTTTCGACTCGCTAAGCAGTTTTAGATTCGAAAAAGAATGTAGAAATTCGATTTTTTCCTTATTCCAGTTCTTAAGGTCCAAAACTAACAGAGAGTAGACAAAACTAAGTGCAGACTAAGGATCATCAAAGTTTGAAGGCTTAAAATTTCTGTTCTAATCTATTACTTGGCATAAGATAAAATACTAAACACTCAAAAATTTCCCTTAATATCCTCTACCAGATATTCAAACTACATCAGCTTTTGTCGTTGACGCACAGACATCTTAAAATCCGGCATTTACTTTTTCAATAAACCGTGCAAATAGCAACTTGGCCGTTCCTCACTGTGACTGTTAGCAAAAATACGATTAATTTTTAATGCGTATGATCGTAAATGTGATGAACGCTTTAAAATATATGAGAATTGCTTGCGGGTAAACTAAACAACCACAGCAGATTTAGCAATAATTTAATGATAAAGGTGAGACAAGGCGTAAAACCGGATGTATTGTAACCTATAGAAATGGAAAACGATCTCGCTCGTTACTAAGAAAAAACAAAAGATGATAAAGTAAACATGATAAGTTCAACGGTTTTTTTCAAAAAAAAAAAATAAAACGCGAAAAATATCACAGTTTGGGACAGCTTCAGACTTTTTTATTGTAGGCCCTTTGCCTTTTTACGGTTTTTTGCATAGATGTTAATCGTAAAAAGGCATTTTGCCGAAAGGCTCTGTACATGTATTTTTTTGTGTGTATGCATACGTGTGTATGTGTTGTGTGTGCGTGTGCGCGTGCTTGTGTATGCGTGTGTACGTGAACCCAAAAATAGTAATAGGGGTTCACGAATAAACAATGATATGTTAAACAGCATGAAAATAGTTCGGAATAGCAAAGATTAAGTAACAAAATAATTTTGAGACACCACAGCAAGCGATAACAGGAAATGATTAATGGTCGAAGAACAATAATTAATATGTATTATTCGAACTGTTTCACTGTCACAACTTATGTATTCAGACTGGGAATCACAGAAGTCGCGTTTATTTCAGTGACTTAGAACAACGAATCTACCACCCAGGAGAGCATGTACTTGGGATGTAAGCGATTCTGGAAGCAATTCCGTATAGCGACGGGCTACCGGAAACAAAATTTCACGAAGTTTTTCTTCGCGCACACGCAACTGTGAATATGTCTTTGGAGTTTTGTCCTGGAGCTCGTGATAGGCCTGCAGATTTTCCTCGAAAGAAAGCAGTGCTTCTTTCTTGCTTTTATCTGTGGCCAGATTAGCAACCATGGCTATTTCTTTCGCACCTTCTCTGGCCCATATTTTACGAACATTTTGCACCAGACCTTCGGGTTTTATACCGACCATGCAGCGTGATCGAACTTTAACAGAATTATTAAATTCCATTGAAGTTATGTAGCATACAGGGATCGATTGATTTAGAGCATTGAAACGATCTACAACAACGTCGAAGGAATGAATGCCAGGATGCGCCTGAAATAAAGATGGGGAAAATTAGAAAAGGACAGTATTAATCCAGATCATGGCAATATGAAAAGTTCAAAAACACCCTGTGTCTGTGCGTGTCTGTAAATTATTTCTGTGATAATTGAACAGGGTGGGAGAAGAGACTGAGGCGAGAATTGAGGAACGAGATGGGGTTGCAACTAAAGAAGCAAAATATTTTACAAGATGGCCTGGAAACTAGTATGAGGTACAAAATAAGACTAGGACGGGGCCAAACTGCCCTGGACGTGCACCGGCCTGTTTTGCGGCGACGATAAGGATCTCAGGCCGCTGAAGAATATAGCCACAGAACAAGGCTCTTGGAAACTGTCAGTCGTTATTGAGAGATAAATACACGAATTAGCTGCTCCGTTAAAAAGTAAGGAAAAAAGACAGATTTATTTTGGCGGAGACAAGTTTGTGGTTAGCAGAAAGCCATCTTAGCAAACCATCTCAGGCTAGACTGCGATATTTAGGACACAAAATAGCATTAGTCATTTTATGTGCCCAGCATGGAACATTCCCT